AGGTCCAGTGACCAAAGCCTACTGGTTGTGCAGCGCACCAGGCTAAAGACCAAAGGTGACAGATCATTTGCTGCTGTGGCCCCCAGACTCTGGAACTCTCTCCCCCTGAGCCTGAGATCAGTGGAATCAGTGGTCTCCTTCAAAAAGCAGCTGAAAACTCACTTGTTCAAGCTGGCTTTTGTATGACCTTCTTCAACCACTCTCTCTTTATTCTGCTCTCCCCACCTATTCCACCTTCCTCAGGATCCACTGATTTCCCTCTTTCCTATTCACTCTCTCTCTTTTTCTTCACATTTTTTTATCACAATTGCCTACTTTTGCTCATTTTAATATATTTTTAAACATTTTCTAAACACTTTTTTATATTTTTACATTTTTTTGTTGTTGTGAAGCGCCTCGTGATTTTTATCTCGAGAGGCGCTATAGAAATGATGTTTTCTTCTTCTTCTTTTAAAGATTTGGTTTTTGGTTTTGATAGGAGTTTTGTCCTCTTTTTGGTACAACAGCTGATTGCAGCTGGGATTTTGGGAGGAAGGAGACTTAAATTGTGGGTTTTGTTTGGAAACTGTCAGTTCCCCTTCAGTAAAGAGCGGGTTTTAGTTTAGTTTGCCTCCGTGAACTAACTTTAGTTTTTTTGTTAGGACATTTACTCAATGAAGAGAGTTTTTTCATTATTCTCCACTACCTTTGCTGTTTAAACTTTTATACTTTATTAGATAAGCAGTCCTCTTCCTGCTAAACCCTGACCTGGTAATAAAACACATTTTGGTCATAACTTCCACCCCATGCCAACGATTTATGTCAACCCCCCTTCACACTCACCATCTACGAGGGTTGTAACAAGGCCCGAACAGTATTGTTTCTTGCTAATCACAGCGGTTTGGTGGGCGGGTTGTGGCAACGACTCGTTTGTAACGGCTTTGGCATCCACTTTGGAGTATTTATGCCTCTTTTAGAAAACAATGCCGTCAGTTTGCTGCAACGCCCGAGCCGGCATCAGGGAGCCTTTGGTCGTTTAGAAGTGGTCAGACCGCAGTGGTAATGTAACGCAATCATGTCATTTTAACAAAAGATTACGCAATGGCGGTATAAAGAGGGTATGGTGGCGGTCTCTGCACTGCCACAGACTTCCGTTTGACTTGGACGTAACTTACTTTTTATTGTGATCAAATCACAAGACACTCCTAAAATTGTCTGTACTCCACAGTTTTCGCTTTTTGAGATCTTTCAGCCAACGTTGTGTTGTCAGACATGTTCTATTGTAGTGATTAGGTGTGGCTACAGAGAATGACGTCATTCTCTCTGAAAAAATGTCATTATTTGGTTATCTAATTGGGCATTTCCACATGGTTCCGGGTTTGTTTGGGTAGTTTGGATCTTCATTTCAGAAATGGTTTGTGCATTTACCCCAGTCTAATTTCACATCACATTATTTGTACAACAGCAGAGAAAGTGCAGTATAAATCTTCTGTATCAAGGTGGAAACAATAATTTCCATTTTAACATGAGCATACAAGCAGCACTGGTGTTTTTTTTATGTGTGGAACGGGGCATATTTAGCCAATGCCAACATGAAATATTAGTATTAGACAAAACCAGTGGGAGTTAGCAAGGACAGTGGTGCTTCCGGAGGGCCCGTGGAGGTTAATGACCAATTATATGAATGCCTCGCCAAGCATTTTAGGATTTTATAACAGGCATGAAACTGATTTTATGGTCTAGTATTTCACCCATTTCTTTTTTTTTATCTATTCACAAAGACTACAGTATATGTTTGTAAATTCTGGGGATCCAGTGAAGAAGAAACACTCCAGAGTCTGCAGTCCAACTTCGTGTCTTTTCTATTATAATAATTCCTGCCCTCATTATTTAAAAATATTCACACATTTCTCCATTTGTATGATAATAACATGTTCCCAAAACATTTTTTTTTTACTATTATTCAGATTATTAGCACGTTTTTACAGGACAGGAACAGATAATCTCTTACTATTTGGTCCAACATATCATCAGACACAAAGTCTGAACAGGTAAATGCAGGGAAAGAAGACCAACTGGAATTTCACAGCTGAATTCCCAAAAGTGGATCATTCTAGAGAAGACATCGATAGGGATGTGTGTGTGTGTGTACGCGTGTGTGCTCGTGTGTATGCTTGTAAACATGGGGTTGGTGTGTTATGATGTGGAAAAGAAGATTTAAAATCCTTGAACACAGAGGAGGTTGGACTGGAAGTAAAGGAATGGATGACAGATCATTTAATTAAACACATCACACACATAGTTCACTAATAAAATATTTACTAATGTAAATACGGTCATCGTAAATCGTTTCGTTTTCTTGAAGATTGTTTTTACCCACATAATTTTTGTTTGCAGCACAATGAGCATGCAAACACAAGCCTTATTCATTTCAGATTTAACACTGCTGTAAGTGTTTTTAGTCTTAAGGGAGAAACATTAGAAAGTAAAGCCATCCGTTTGTGCCGTTGGTTTGTCTTTTAACACTTTGCTTGGTGTTGAAATGAAAACTTGACGTGCCACAAGGGATCCAGCCTGCCAGGTGGTGAGAAGTGGTTGTATTAACGCAGGGAAGTGGTTGACACTCCTATTTCAGGAGAGATGAGTTTGGCGAGGAGACGATAAGGAGTGTGAGATAGCCTCAGTTTAGGGAGTTACCAGCAGAAACTGCACTCTCAATCCAGTACTTGTGGCGATGACATGAGTAAAAGGACGATGGCTTTGTTGCTATGTTGCAAGAAAACCCCAACGTGGCCCACAACTGCCTTGAGTAAATGGCAGATCTAAGATTTAACTCTTAACTTCACAGTTTCTTGTAACTTGCATTAGATGTTTTGCTAAAAATGTACAAGCCAGGAATAATTCATATCAGGAAATCCTTAGGTTGATAAATTTAGCTTGACTTCTTTTACAACTGGTAAATAAACTCTGTCTGAAGGGAAAAACTATTTCTTTAAAACGTCCTTTAAACCTATGATTTACTGCGCACTAAGCTACACGTTTTCTAGGGCAATAATGTTGAATTACAGCTTGGGCTTGGGCAGATGCATTTTAATTTGAGCTAGATATGACTTAATTTCTTATGTTTTAACTGCCTGATACACTTGTTTACTCCATATTTCTTTTAAAATGTCAAAATCCCTTTATTTCTGCTTGGCTTTGATACAAATTCATTGCAAATTCACAACTTATCTGTAAACCAATGTACACTGGTACACTGTACCTTTTTGTCTTTAGAATTGCCTTAATTTTCTGGTTACCAGTAAACCACAGAATTGATTTCAAAAGGGCTTCTACTAGTTTATAAATCACTCAATGACATGGGGCCAGAATACATGTTGGATCTCCTTGCAGTACAAACACTCCGCTGGTAGAAAAGCAGGTCAGAACTAAACCGGGTGAAGCAGCTTCTAGCTACTAAGCTGCACACAGATAAAATATGTAGAAAGAAATGCTTTATTGATGTGACTATATATGTATTAAGGGTGTATCGATCACCGATCTTGAGAAAAACCTGACTTGCCGATACCAATTTTGACTCAACTGCAACAAGTCACGTTTGTTTCAATTTCCTTTAATTGAGAAAACCAATATGGATACTCATTATGTTTCAACTGGACATTAGGTAATGTTCTCAAATATAAACAAGCATGTTTAGCATTGGTGTTTGAACTATAAAATTATATTTGTTCCTTTGGACTTTCATTTTTCTAATTTTGAAAACAAAACTTTTGTACCTGTTTTGACACATTTGTTCAAAAAAATCACTCTAGCGATGATTTGCTTTAACATTAACTAGGGGTGCACCGATTGCAGTTTTTGTTCGATCACCGATCTTGAAAAAAAAGGAGATTGGGGCCGATAGATGGGTGCACCCCTAATTTGTATATATGTCTTATGTTAGCTGCAGTAAGGTGACTTAAATCAAAATTGAAAACCTACATGTATTAATTAGCCTTTGAATGAATGTTCTTGTGCTGCACCATCTGCACTGTAACTGCTCAGGCTTTAAATTTGCCTTTTATCTGATTCTTATTTAATTTGCGTATTTAATTTATTCAAAATGTATTTGTGTATTTTATTTGTGCTGTCATGTTTGCTGTTGTTGCTCCTGGAAAGCACATTGAATTGCCGAGGTGTGTAAAATGTGCTACATAAATAAAGCGTACTTGCCTTGTTGTCACGGGTCATGAAAGTGTTTGGAACATTCTTTGGGAGTCGTGGCCCATGGTAACGTGACATCTTAACACAGCTGATGCAGATTTTTCTGCCGCACGTCCATAATGTGAACCTCCCACCACACCCCAACAGTTCTATAATGAATTGAGATCTGGTGACGTCCAGTGATCTTATTGTTATGTTCATGTAACCATGGTAGTAACCATCAAAAACTTGGTTTACTTTGGTCATAAAGGGGTGGACAGGGCCAGCAACGGTATTTTTGTGTGGTTCAGAGATGATAATTTACCAAACTTGGTTAGAACCATTGTTTCAATCTGAGCTCCTCTCACCTTCCTGTCACCTAAAACCAGTCTGCTAGTTCTTCTCTGACCTCTGACAACAAAAAGACATTTTATCGACGCAGCTGCTGCTTACTGGATATGTTTCTAGCCATTGTTTCGGAGCCAAGATGATTGGGGATGAAAATCCAAGTATATCAGCAATTTCTGAAATCCTCAGCTCAGCCTGCCTGGTATCAACAATCATGTTGTATTTAAAGTCCTTTTCTTTTTCCATCTGGATGCTCTTTTTGAACTTCAGCAAGTAATCTGTAGCCTTTAGATGTCTAAAGCTGCTTCCATGACATTGACTGATTAGCTGTTTGTATCAACAAGTGAAGTGGTGTATCAAATAAAGTGGCTCTTGACTGTGACTTTGATTAGATTTACTCTGACATTGAATGATTTTATAGAAAGCAATGCAAATGAATTTAGCCAGAACCTAAACAGATGCAGCTTATAAGATTAATGTTTTTGTTGCAGGTGCGGATGGTTATTGAGTTGCTATGGCCTCTGTTTCTCTTTTTCATCTTGGTGTGGGTGAGGTCCACCAACAAGCCGATTTACAAAGGCCAATGTGAGTGCAACGTGGTTTATTCCTGCAGAGCAAGTGTTCTGCTTCATTTGGCAAATTTAACATGCACCTTTAATCATACGACTATGCCTAACTACCGTAAATCCTCTGATACAGGCCCGGGCCTGTATTTTACTCAAGCTCATCAAGCTCCAGGCCTTTATTGGAAGGAGGGCCAGAATTAGAGGCCTGAATTTCTATTTGAGCAAAATGAACCACCAGTAGAATGAATAAAAATGGGGTGTGTCTATTTGAACCTATAAAATACTAGGTTCATTTATTGAAAATGTGCAGTTACCATAACATGGTACGGTTTGCATACATTAACAACGAGGCTAAATTACAGTAGGGAAATACTGTAGTGTAACAAAACAATAGCAAACATACCTGTACTGCATTTTAAACGTTATTAAATACCGGTATTAGAAAAGGCAACAGCCACCTTACCACTTCAAAGTTGAATTGCTTCGTCTCATTTGGGTTGTAGTAAAAAACAAAAAAAAAAAACAACCTCAAATTCAATTCAATCTTTGTCCAGTTTAAAGTAAAAAAATAAAATACCGGTAATCCAATTCAGTTTAATCCTCATCCAGTTTGATAGGTCGATGCTAAAACGTTTAGCAGCTTGCTCCCTAGGGGCTGCATGACTTTTTTTTTTTAAGTCGACAGTCAAGTAATGAAAATCGAGTCGACTTTGACTAGTCATTGACTACGTCATACACCTGAAGCGGCGCGGGGGGTCGGTTGGTTCACTGGAGTTTTTGACAATTAAAATTGCGCCCACATTTTCAAAGTTAAACACATTTCTTTTAACAATGGTAGTTTCTGCTTCAGCCCTCTCCCCCCTCCCTCTGCGCAGCGGCCGCTAACTCACTGATGTGCCTGCAGCCTCTCAGAGTTCCTGCTGCTCTAAACATTAAAATAATTATTTCATTTTCTGTTCCTCACTTCTGATTACCTTCAATGGTGTCTGTTTGTTGCAACCACCAGGTACAAAAACTAAGTTGTTTTTATCCGACTATTTATCTGTCCTGCCTGTTTATTATCTTCCTGCATCTCCTCTCAATCCTAAAGAAAAACTGCTACCTGGGTTCATATATATTCACCTCATGAGTTACCTTTGAACTTTAGTTCTAAAAGATCTACCGACCGCAAAAACAGCAGGGTGCGCGCCGGTCGCACCGGTGGACAAGGTGATGCGCCCCGCTCCACAGCAGCGAAAAGCATCAGGCACAAATAAAAGAATAAAAGACAGAAAACATAAAAGGAAATGAGCCGACACGAACGATCGCGTGTTAAATTAGTTTTTGAGGTGGCGACACCTGATTTGATAATGTTACTTTGGCCGTGCTCAGGACGCAGATGTCTGGGGCACGTCAACAATCAGAGCTCTGCATGCACAAGCTGGTTAAGGTTAGGATGGGGGTGAGGGGAATGTTAAATTGCAAGAGGGTAAAGGTCACAATTTGTTAAATGTCCGTTTTACGGCGGGTGTCAGTACCGACGCTCTGGCACAGCGCGTTGCCTCCCAACGCGCAGGAGATTGTCACTTGCTGACAGCAGGCTGCTGTCTTTTCCGTGGACTGCATCTTGCCGGTCATTATCACGTGACAGCGACTAGTCGATGACAGGCATAAAAAGTCACTATAGAGCAGTGAAGTCGACTAGTGATTAGTTCATACAACCCCTGCTACTGCTCCCCAGAGTGTTCTGCAGCATAATTAGCATGTTCTCTTTGAACTTGATATCAAATTTTCGCCTCCTCTTCGTCTCCGCACGGTTAAAGTTACCCTCGCGGTTTATCACTGGCAAATCAAAATTGAGACGGATGACACAACCGCCCCCCTGTGGTACTTGCTTGTTACCATTCCACCCGGCCACAATAAAAAAAAATAAAAAAAACGGCCATTATTCCCCTCCGCCGACTCCAACACCGGCCAACATGTGATACCCGGCCGTTAATTGAATACAGGCCAATATTAGAGGATTTACGGTATGTTTAGAACGTTGGTATTGTCAACTGTATTGTGCCCATAAATGGTTGCCTTTAAAGGTGTGTAAAAGAAAAAATATCTTTCGACCCTTTAGGTCACTACCCAAACAAAGCCATGCCATCTTCTGGCACACTGCCCTGGCTCCAAGGTATGATATGCAACATCGAGAATCCTTGCTTGGACTATCCAACGCCAGGGGAAGCACCAGGAGAGGTCAATAACTTCAACAGCTCTATGTAAGCACCGAGATGCACACTTTTCTGATATTCACTGAAATAAAATGCAGTCCTCTATGTTTATTAAAATTATTTCTTTAGAGGTTTTACAAAGAATCTTTGATGTTCTCTTTCCTTGTGATGCTACCAGAATTGCTGGGATCTTGATCGAACTTCAAACCATTTTAGGAAACAAGTCTGTTCTCGCCAAAGCGAAGCTCCTGGCAGATGATTTCAATCATTGGTCTTCTGTCCTCTCTCTGTCAAAGCCTAGTGATGGTAAGGATGGTGGTAACTGCATTAATAAACATTGTGATGCCTACACTGTAAATGGGCTTTATACAAAATACTTTTTTTTCTACGGTAGTGGTTCGTAAAATTTGAATTGAAACCTGTGCGTGAAGTCTTGCTATGATATCTGTTCAATTAGTTTAAATAGAAAAATGCTATTGTTAGAAGCGTTATGTTGATTATAGGTGGATACATAATTTGTTAATGTTGGTTGTTGCCATTTTGCCCATTTTTTTAATTGCTTCGTACTAATTTTTGTGTACTTTAAGCATAATTATGTCCAGTCTTGTCAATGAAACCTCCTACTCATCTTATTGGGGTGTTGATTAAATAATTTATTCTTTGTCACTGAATCTTTGATAAACATATGTGCTAGAACATAATGCTATGCTATGTTATGCTAGCTGGTCACTGATCGTGTGATGAGTTGGTAGCATAGGGATGATGTCAAAATGGCAAGCTCTCCTCCAAAGCCTCTTAAAGCCATCCTTTTAACATTTTTTAAATCATTTTCTGAGGCCAGTATGTGCTAAAATGACTCTTTACAGAGTTAATGAAACCCCCCACCGCCCTCTGGGGCCAGATTTCCACATTTGCAACTTCAGCATGCTAGTCCAGTCTGTTAAAGTAAAAAAAAGGGGAGCTGACATACCTGGGGCTGCAGTCTGCTTCCAGCAAGTTTCCTGCATGTTTTAGATCATGAACACAGCTGATTTGTTTAATTTAGTAATGAATCACTCCTGTAGACACTAAGGAAGGCTGAGGAGATGTTTCAGCCGTTAGATTAAGGTGTTAAAAAAGAGAAACACACAGGTACCCACTGTGTTTTAAATGGTTTGGTCCAATATCTCACCAGGACCCTGCAGAGTTCATTCATATTCTAGCTGAATTATTGTTGTAGCAGTGTCTTTATATGTGAAAGGGGACCTAAACAGCTAAATCCACCACAAAAACAAGATTACATTGGAAAATTTCTTCTCACGGAATCAGAAACTGAGTTTTGTTAATAAAGAATAGTTAAATGATTTAGCAAAAATCACTGTTGTGCCTTTGTCAAGTACCCTCGATCAAGGAAAGTATCCCCTTCGTGTGGATGACAAGTTGGAGGATTTGTTATTCCCCTTCATCCCTCAAAAAATATGGCATGTGATTATTTATGATGCAATTTACCATGCAGACTGACAGATCGTTTGTCTTGATAAGCTGTTACTTTGCATTAGGCTCATTTAGTCTGATGATATTCAGATTTTCATACAGCACCTAATTTGCAAAAAGGCAATAGAAGGAGGGGGGCAGGCTGCTGTTCAACAAGCGGCTCCTGGGGCCATTTGCATTTCGGGGTCGCTGGTTGGTAATATACAAAATTAAATCCATCAAAGATCTAGGCCTGTACATAATGAATGGGACTTGCTGCTGTCTGAGGCAAGAGCACAAAAGATCATTAGGTAAGAAAAAAAAAGGGAATGGAGTGATATCGAAAGATGGCAAAGGTGATTGTGTTATTTTTTCTATTTTTGTTAGAGTCTGGGTTGATTAAAAGAACTCAGGTGGTCACTTGACTTTGAAAGGCGACCAGGAATAAGGGTGCAGAGCTTGTTCTATTTCCCCTCATCATCTAAACCTCCAATAGTCCTGAGGAGCATAATAATATGTCATCAGCAGGAATCACAAGGCGTTTGTATCGAGTTCAGAGAGGGGCTTCCAATTAATTCTGTTCGTTTTCACTAAACAGCATCCGATCTGAACCGTTTAAAACCCCGCTATTCAGGATATTGACCAAGTTCCTCACATTACACAAGCAAACACGATGACTTAATTATTTTCTGTTACTACTTCATTAATCGCAGTGCAAATTGAAGTCCCAGCAAGCAGGAAGCAGATTAGATATAGCATGGGTCGAAGTGTGAGACTACTCAAGAATATTTCCGGTGAGATTGTTTCTCTAAGTGTAAAAATTGGTACTACTTTCAGGACTTAGTTGGCATAAAAGCAAATGCATTTTAGTAGTCAAGTGCAAACCGATTAGCCTCTTCTCATGCTCTTATTTTATTTCAGCAGACAGCCATTTAACCCGATTTAGTTTTCCGGGGATCTTTGAGCTATTTTGTGGCATGTTTGGATGTTAAAGCAGCAAAAATAAGAGGCAACACACCTTAAAAACATTTTTTTTTTGCATTTGTTTGAACTTTCTAGGAAGTGTGTCTAGTTTTAACTTGTAGTAGATTTAGAAGAGAGAAAGATAAATGGAAATAGTTTTCAGCTAAAATATTAGGATATAATGACTGAACTTAGCCCCCGGGTGCACCAGACATAATACATTTATCTGCCTTTGGTAATAACTCTGCTTGTAACTTACCGTAGGGTTACTTGTATTGATGATATGTGGAAATGAAAGTGGTGTCAAGATTTAATAACTAACACCACATGAGCCGGTGTGGAATTTTAGAAATTGGAATCAGTTTAAGAAGCAGCGCTGCCCCTTGGTGTGGGCTATTAGGTATTAGCTCATCAGTCCCGTAGGATGCAAAAGCTTTTTTTAGATCTCGTTCTGTTAGAGAACGTTATTAATTAAAACTAAAATGTTTGGATGTATTGAACACAAATAACCTCACATACCCTGTAGCGATGAGGATTAGCTACATTTAATAAAAGGATCAATAAGATGTGATATTCCTTATAAATATGAATCATCAATCTGATTGGCCTTTGAATATTTGATTTAATATTACCTTAGGCTATTTGGACTATTCAGGGAACACACACTTCATATTAATTCAGACAGTCAAGTAAATAGTTAATAATAATGAATTTAATTCCATCTTTCTAAACTAATGATTGTACATGACAAAGTATGAATGAAATGATAAAATGTGAGCAAGATGTTTGTAGCAAAACCTTGTTAAGTATCTGAGCGATCTTCTGGTGTCTGGGTTGTAAAATCAGCTGACTTTGAGGTCAAAAGAGAGGATGGTCCCAAGTGCTTTGCTCACCTGGTCGGCCTGCCGAGTAAGCTGGCGAAGAACTGGTTAGATCTGGAAGTGATTTCTATTTTTATTAAATTTTGACAAAGTTTTCGAGGGCGTTAACAAATCCCTCAGAAAATCAATCCTTTACTCAGATACTTACCCCCAAATTCCACTACCTCCGCTCCGACACGAACGCCGGAGCAAAATCGGTCCCGTTGTAGTCAATCAGAGCAATTCCACTACTGCAGCCGTGCTCCAGCCGTGCTCCGGCAGTGGGGCGCAGTGCGCCGCCCTCTGTTCCGGCGTTCGGCAAAAATAGAATCAATCCTATTTTCGCCAGACGCCGGAGCACCTCCGCAGTAAATGGAAAGAAATCACAACAGCCCAACAGGAAAAGGAGCAAGCACAACTTCCGTTTTTCACAATAAATCGATAAACAAAAGGCGTTTTTTGTTTCATATGCACAGGTTTAACAACTTTTAACAACTATCAATGGCGGCTGAAGTTTAAATGCACAAAAGTAAGCCATAAATACAGTTTCCACTATCAAAGTAGTCACACGTTGTTGATCCAAACACTGCTGATCTGTCAACACAAATGATGGACAGATTAAACAGTTCATGCCGATGCTTCTCCCACACAACGGGTGTTTGGATCTAACTTCCGCGTTTATTGCTCGGACTGTATCGCAAGATCTCGAAAATCCTGCGCATGCTTGTTTGCCCACCTCAGGTCTCCGCACCGGAGCGGAGCCGTTGTAGAGCGGGTACCAGTAAAAATTGAGTTCGGAAGCGAGTGGCTGCGGAAGGCGGGGGCGGACCGGAGCGGAGCGGAGGTAGTGGAATTTGGGGGTTAGAGGTTCTTCTTTGTGAGAAGTAAAACTGTTATAACAGTTATGTGAGGTGAAAATGTTAAACATTAATTATAATATTATGATATTATTATATACATACCGATAGAATGAATTGTCAATTCAACAGTTACTGATTTGGTGTAAATTTAGATCTGAAACAAATCATTACAGGAAAAACATTCATTTTAAGCCATCATTCACGAATGTAAAGTATAGGACACATTATTCAAACACTTCTGATTTTAACAAATTGTCCATTCAATAAAATATGAATATATGAAGTTTTAAAGGCATTTATGCCAGGGACTTTATTCAGAGAGTAAAAGATAAGAAGTCCTGCGTCTTGCAGCCAGGGGCGGACTGGCCTATCTGGCATCCTGGCACTGTCCTGGCACAAACCCCTTGCACACACAATTTTATGTTACATCAGTCTATGTAAAAGAAAGTAAAAAGTTAATTAATTTAAGAAATTCTACGACTATATTTGGATGTTTGAAAAAATAAATATGAAATATATGTATTATTCAACAAATATGAGTATTTTTATTTTATTAATTTCTACTATTGTATAGCCCTCATTGCTCCAAGTGAGTAAAAATGCAAACAAAACATTTCATTGTTTTTTTTAGTTTATTTTTATTTTTATTTTTTTTATTTTCTTTGGAGTTGAAGTCAAATTGGTGTATTGTAAAAAATATGGTGGCCTGCATTTGATATGGTGCCTTCTAGAGTCCTAGAACATCCCCCCCCCCCCCCCCCCCCCCCAGGGTGCTTTTCGAACACAATCAATCATTCACCCATTCACACACACATTCACACCCTGGTGATGATGAGCTACAATGTAGCCACAGCTGACCTGGGGCGCACAGACAGAGGCAAGGCGGCCAAGCACGAGCACCACTGGTCCCTTCGACCACCACCAGCAGGCAAGGTGGGTTAAGTGTCTTGCCCAAGGACACAACAGCAGAATTCTCTGCTGGGACACGGGATAGATCCTACAACCCTCTGATTTGTGGACAACCCGCTCTACCTCTCAGGTGGTAGCTTAACCCAAAGACACAAACTTTATCCTTGTTTCTAAAAGCAGATTCATTTTCTTTTGTCCTTTTAAGACCAACTTTCCTTAACAGAAGGGTTCTCTTTCTACGAGTTCTGGCTCCCCTTGCTTGGCACAGATCTCTGTTAGAGCAAGCAGGACACATGCACATTGCAGGGAATGTTTTCATGATTCTACATCCTACTGTACGTGTGTACAACACTAACAAATAAAGAAGTTGTCAAAAATCACAGATGTTCACTATTGTTAAATACGTCACTATTAGTAACACATTTCTTTTTGTTTACCCAGTCCTCATGAAGAGTATTCTGAAAGATGGCGAAACCTTCACCACATATCTGAATCAGAATGTGTCAGTTCCAGCAGCAGTGGTCCAGAGCCTCATGAATGCCAAGCTTCAACTCAGTCCAGTAAGTAGAACTCTGTCAGCATACTGGAAACTTTGTGTTCTGCAGGAATCCCAAACTACATAAAAACGTGAGTTTCTCATCTGCTGGTGTGATGAAAGGAATTTAAATATTATCATCCTGTTCAAAAGACCAAATGTGCCAAGAGTGTTCTGCTTGAGCATGTCAGACTGAAATGTCCTGGCCCAGAGCAGCCTTTGGGACTCCTTGTCTTGATATTCAAAGCACTCCCTGGTGTTTGCTTGACAGAAAGTAATTTGAAACAGCCTACAGTATGCAACTTTATAGGAAAAGGATGTCAGTTAAAATAATGAGTGTGTTTTTTTAAGTCTCCCAGTTGATTATTTGATACAAATCAATATCAGATGGGATTCAAGAAGGTAATTGTATTTACCCTGGCAAGGATGCTTAAATACATAAAGGTGGCAGCTAAATTATTTTAACGTGTCTGAGCCCTTGTGATGGTGGCAGTGCTGGAAGTTTTAAAAGTAACACCATGCAGAGATTGAGGGAATGCTGCTCTGCGTCTGGGACTCTTAAGGAGTCTAAACAATATCAGCTTGTTCTGCAGGCACTGCTGCGGTATCAGCTTCACAGGTGCAAAAAGATTTTGTCAAAAGCTTTGATGGTTAAAGAGGGTTGCTTCAGGTGGCCGGTCTGAAGCTTTCTCTAGAACTGAGAGATCACCCGAAAGTGATCCAGTCTTGATGTTCTCATGTTATGATTTGTGTAGCCAACCAAAGGTTGACAGGTTCGAGAAACGTTACCAAGAAACTCAGAAACACGCCGTCTTTGATGCGGAGGCTCTGACTGGGTAAAAGACTATTTATGTGTCACAAGTTCAACTTAACTTTACTTGAGCTTGTGTGAATGCAAATGGTGATGACCTTGTCATTTCAACATGCTGAAACATATTTCAATCACTGTAATCATAACATTCATTTCACACTTCAATCATTGAGCACAGATTAATGAAGCATTTCACTATATTATAATAATTATAAATAGCAATAAACAAACATTTATTTAATGATTATCTAGCTTATAAGTTGTAGAAGTTCATATCTGATTTAGGAAATCATTCTTTGACTTAGCAGCTGATCCGAGCTGGAGTGTTCCTTATATGGAGACATGAAGACCTGAAAGATTGGACCTTGAGGAGAGAATGTTATTGTTGACATTTCGTTATCTGTGTTCAGAGCTGCAGAGGGTCTGAGCTCCAGCTGATGGGATGAAGGCAGGCCAATTTAAAGGGAACACATGCAGTCTTTTGTCTCCTTTTTGACCAGATGTTGAATAGATATTGAATGGTCAAACTGTACCTAGAAACTGACCAATGCTGGATGTTACACAGTACTAATTTTTTCCATTGGCAGCCACTGTATCCAGGTTAACTCACAGGCTCTTTGTACTAGTCTAATACTGGTCTAGTCTTTTCATCAGCGATTCAACCCTTAGTCCTTTCATGTGTAAAATGTCCTTCCACAAGACCCTTCACCCCAAATTGCCCCTGATGAATTCCAGTGTCTAATTGTAGGTAACAGTCATGCATATTTAAAACGCCACCATGAGAAACACCGTAAAGCACTTAATAAGAGCTGAATGTCATTGTAAAGCACCATAAAACGGTGGACCTTTAGTTGCACACTGTGAACCATTCATAAAGTTAAAGCAAATGTCATATTGATGACTCAGATACTTGAATAAATCAGAAATTCCTCATAACAGGCTTTTATGACAAGAGAACAGCCACTAATACTTGAGCCTTCATGAGAAAATCAATTGAATGGTTACAATACCATCAAAATTAATGTTGGTTCTTCAAATGTTTAATCTTAAATTGACACAGCTCTTTAAATCCTTATTTTTAGGTCTGATTGGAGATAAAATTTGAGTTTGCATGATCCCGTACAACTTCCTGTGAAATGAAAAAAAAAAAAGTTCTAAATCACCATTGTGTTATTGGTCAACTTTAGCCGAAGTTGGTATTTTCTTCTCAGATGACGGGCATCCTGAGACCTGGGAATGTGAAGAGCATTCTGTGTGAGGGGACAAATCTGGACAAGTACATCCAATTTAACAGCCAAGCTGAGAAGGAGGCTTTTCAGAATGTCAGCTGTTCCCTCACTCAACAGCAGCTGATGGACACCCAGCAGGTTCTTCTGCAAAACCTGGATGGGAGGAAAGTGCTGTCAGGGGTAAGTCTTGTCTGCTGTTGTTGGCACTAAAACCATCAGATATTTTCAAACTTTTCTAAACTAGAATTAAACTTGTATCTGGTAAAGCTCGAATCATTTCAAATTGATTTCTTGAACATGACAGTGAGTTCACTGTACTACAATGGCCCCCACAGTTACCAGATCTCAACCCGATAGAGCATCTTTGGGATGTGGTGGAACGGGAGCTTTGTGCTCTGGATGTGCATCCCATAAATCTCCATCAACTGCAAGTTGCTATCCTATCAATATGGGCCAACATTTCTAAAGAATGCTTTCAGCACCTTGTTGAATCAATGCCAAGTGGAATTAAGGCAGTTCTGAAGGCGAAAAGGGGTCAAACACCGTATTAGTATGGTGTTCCTAATAATCCTTTAGGTTAGTGTATGCCACCCTGTCGCCTAACATTCATGGACTCACCCATCTTGAGTCACAACAAGAAAGGTTGTTGTTTTTTAGCATCCAGGAATCAACAGAGAACATCCTGACTACTACAAGCTAACGTTAGCATTAGCAACACTACCACACGGAAATATTGCTTATTGTGCCTTTAAGTTTGATTAGTAAATAAAAATAAAGTGTGAATGGTGACCCATCAAGGTTTCACCTCACATTTCAATCTATGCTAGCTCAGATAGCAGAAAACAAAAATGAATGAAACTCCCTTTCAGTATTTGAAGGTTTTCATAATAATTTCTTATCATAGCACATCACCATGGTAACACACATTTTCATATAACAGATCAAAAAGCAGATATAATGTCCTTGGACATTGTTTCTCTCTGATGTGAGACAGTCTAAATTATATGGCTTTTTCGGAATACCAAAACATCTAAATTATAAAATATCATAATTTAGATAATATAAAATATTTTTCAAAGTTCTTAGACTCCTAAAAAATAACCAAGAAACAGGAAGAAAACAATCATTCATAAGTGAAATTTCTGGAGTACTGCCAGCAGATTTGCAGGCTATAGATTGATTTGGACAATGATTGATTTAGTGCAGTACTGTATAATAAATCAAACTTTGTACTGTCACAATCAAAATAACTGCTTGGATTGAAATGACTTAAATGGACTGTTTTTGATATTTCATTTGAATAAATAGGGATAAATATATTCCCAATACTATACATTCATATTCTGCACACTTATACAACATTTAGCAAATCCAGTGGACTCTTATCGCCTTTGAAGGCCATATCTGACACAGTTGATATGGTCAAGTTGCTCAAATACATGGAGAGTTTTCAGAATTGTTGTGATGAAAGATGAGAAAGAGAGGTGGGAAGAACCTATGTTTTAATCAAAGCTGTTGCATTATTTAAATCCTTAGCATTTCTTGAAGGAATAAGTATTGGTTTCCTCCTTTCATGTCAGACTTTTTACTTACGATCACGTCATGTCAGGTAACGTATGAAGGTACAGCTCTTTTGATCTAAATGTATTCACCATTCAGACTATGTGTTGCCATGGCAATGTGTGAATTGGGTTGAGATCAAAAGTCAGTTAGCTGTAAATGTACATTCAGTGATGCGTTTCTGCCACGTTTATTACCCGTTTCTTTACCTTTCTGCATTGGGTGACAATATCACAATCATGATTAATCAATGGTGGTACTGCTGAACAAGGGTGTTGTTTTCTACATGTCTTTAGCCAACTTTATTTTATTCACCATTCTACTTATGAAAACAAAAATGTTAGGTGAAAATAAAATTACACGACATAATAATTAGGGCTGTCAATCAATAACATTTTTAACAACAATCACTCAATCAATCAATTAATCAATAGAATAGAACAGAGTAGAATAGAATAGAATAGAATAGACTTTATTGACCCCACAGTGGGGAAATTCACTTGTTACAGCAGCACAAACATTTGAGAGAATAATTTGAAGAAAAATAACAAGGGTGCATGTATATACAGTACTTGGGGTGGGCCGTTGTCGTCGTTAACATGCTGTGTCAATGCCAGACTCTTACTGAGTGATTAAAAAAATTTATTTCGCTATCAATCTATTCTCAAAGTTGGGCTGGGATCTGGGTTTGTACTAAGTAAGCTATGATGACTTTCACATTGGTATTCTAGCGCCGATGTATAAGCCATCCCATTTTCTGTAATATAAAACTGAGTATTTGATTTTTGTGGAGCCCAAAAAAGATATAGCTTCTACCTATATTACATTAATGATGTGGCCTCTCGGCATACAGGATTCTTTGGAGCAGAGAGGATGCCGAGTGCTGATCTTTGATTTGCTCCAGGGTGCGTCCTGTGCACGGCCACAGTTACATTCTCAAAGTAGCGCCATCAAAAAACATAATTAACACATAATTGTTTGTGTCTGCTGAAATTTCTTCTGGTACTTTCTGTGTTTTATTTGGGCTTGACGCGCTCTGCTGCAGCAGAACTCATCACCTGTGGTTCGGTGACATCACCTCACCGGCACAGCCTTGTGTGCACTCTGCTGTTTGCAGTGCCTTTGAACTGCTTCGTTCAACTCATGAGGTGGAAAAGCAGGAAGCCGGGCGACAGTTTTTCTGCAGAACTGAAGGGAGATGCAGGAAGATCAGAGGCAGACAGGACAGGAAAATAGTCAAAAAGAACAGCAAAACAAAGTGCTTGAAAAGGAAACTGTAGGTAGATTTCTCCAACTGCATGTTTTACTCTTATGAAGCAATAATGAATAAGCATGTAATAGTTACATTATCAATACAATTCAGATCACCTTCAAAACTCAGTCCCACTTCCATGGCCATTTTGAGGCATTTTGGGGGCCAAAGCAATAGACCTGCCCTCTCACTCTGTGAAATACAGACTGAAAAGAACTGTTTAAGTAATCCTAGTTTTTAATCAAAGAACTTAATAAATGGGTGGACACTGAGTGTCACGAGAGATGACCATGGAAATAAAGACACAAATAATTGGTTTGTTGGATTAGAAATTTTAATATTTTAAGGACACTCATCAACCACTTGCACAGACATTACTTGGACTAGGTTGGGTCCCTTTTCACTGTCTGAAATCTCATGAATCTTGATTTAGCAAAATTCCTCAGATTTTTTGGTCTGACAAATCTCCACCAACTGGAAGGTATTGAGTAGCTGCCATGTGATTGGCTGATTAGCTCTTTGAGTTAACATGAATCTGAACAGGTGTGCCTAACAAAGTGGCTGATGAGTGTAATATTATGCAGTGCTAAAGGCAAAATCTTGATTTTGTGTGTAAAGGATTATAGTTTTAGTGTCACAGTGAGATGAAGCCTTCTTCACAACTTAATACATTCTACAACAGGAGTGAGTAAACTGTCTGCTCCAGAAATAATTCCCTCCTGACTTGAAATGAATTGAATATGAAGCTAACACCATCCTGTGGCAGCCTGTTGGGTAATTTCAAAGTTGAAGGTGACGCTTGTCTGGCTTTGCGAGTCAAAGAAATAGAGAAGTTGTGTCTAGCTGATGAATACTTCCAGTAAAAACCCGTCAGCAACACTTCGACACCAATTATGTGTTATTACAGTAACATAAAGCATGCTGCTGCTTTATTTTTTTATTGAGAGTTCAAACACTGTCATTGTCACACACCCCTCTGTGCCACACACACAGATGCATGCATGTATGAAAAAAAGGCGGGAATTCTGTTTCTGAACCAATGTTTTCCTGAATTCTCTAACATCTCCATTCCCTTTGGGGATGAAGGAAGTCTTGCATTTTTCTTTGGCTTTATCTTTGAGAAAAAATATATGGGACAGCAAATCCAATAAATAAGTGATAAGGCAGGAAGTTCGTTGGAGAGGGAGCTTTTGAGCAATTTAAGCCCACAGGCATTTTCAGATGTAGAAAAAAAAAGGGATCGTCCAGACAAGATACGGAAGAACGGAAAAGCTCTTCAGCGCCCCGAGCAGATAGATGGAAAAAGAACATCAAGCCTTCACACTTGAGGCTTGACACTGCTGAGTGATTGTGATAACAACAGCAGCATAAAAAAGACAAGAGGGGAAGTCAGGGGAGTCTGAGACTGAGATGCCAAGCCACATAAGTTGATTTAGTTGTTTTCACTACTTTGTGTTTGGAGTTTCAGAAGCTTTTTTTAATTGTTTCAAGCATTCACATAAATGTCAAATTAATTACATGTACTACTGAAGCTGTGTTAAAACTGCATGCATGTTTTAAAAGCAATCAAAGAAGCACGTGGCCATTAGGAAACCGTTTTAAAACTGGTTTTTATCTTATGTGTGAGTGGACTGACCTTAGAAGACAATTAAATAAATTGGAGGATTGTGGTTTAATCCCAGTGTTCCCTCATGCATGTCTTCTCCCAGATTTACCTTGAAAAAAGGATCGTTTTTCAATGCTTTTTTAGGGCAGCAGGTCTGGCAAAGCTGCAGCTGTATCACTCCACTGGATTTCAACAGGACGCATAAGCATCAGACAAGGTCTTGAAGCTTGATACGTAGCTACAGTAATTGCCGCTGTTAAATCATCCTAACCCTAACCCTACAAGCAAAGTGGCACATCTCTAACATGTCCCATGAGCATTGTGTCACAGCGCACCACAACATTTACGCTTTGTTTCAATATTTTATATGCTATGCTTCCAGAACAATTAAAGGTCAGCTTTTCAGAGCAGACCACATAGGAAATCAAACACGGGGGCAGTGTAGAGCATCAAGAAACTTGAATAAACAAAGAAAGAAAGCATATGCAGATTTCCTTATGCTGAACTCTAAAATAAATGTGTCCTTATCTGTGAAACCTCTGTAGCCAAGGTAAACAGAACAGAAAGAACCGTGCTTGCTACTGTGTGAAGGGGAAAGAAAATATCAAAAATCTTGCAGTTCTCCTGCAATTTGATGACCACATGGGTCTAGCTGTGCAGAATATTTGCACCTCTGAAATGCGGCAGAAAGGGTATACTCTGGTGAGGTTGTGGTGAAAACGGATAGATTACATTGTGCATATGGTGGCCTGACCTCTCCCC